CTCCCCGGCTGCGCAGGGGGCACCGGGCCAGGCTCCCCGGGGGCCTGGGGACCCCCGCCTGGGCCCTGGAAGGCGTCCCAGCACGGCGCAGGCCGGCCTCAGCCCTGTGACCAGCCCCGTCTGAAAATCAGGGCCCCCCCCCGACGGCCTCCACTTGAGAAAACAGCTGTGAGAGCCTGCACACGGAGAGAGGAGTCAACAAGTGTTGGCCAGCGCTGCGGGGTGGGCTTTGAGGGCCGTTCGGGGCGCCGCGGCGAGCTGGGCCTGGCTCCCCTTGCCTGCTGCGGACCCCACCGGCTGCAGGAGCCACACATCTGGATCCCACCCCCGGCCCCGCTGGCTCTGCCCCCAGCCTCTCCACCCCGGCTCTCCTTATCTGTAGCCTGGAGATGGAACCACCCACTCAGGACAGGGTCAGCGGGCCGGGCAGGGAAGTGCCGGGACCTTGTGCAAACAGAAGGCAGTGTGGCAATAACCCGGAGGTCAGAGGTCAGGAGGGGCTGGGAAGCTCCAAGGAAATGAAGCTCCCCGCATGTCACTGTTTGCTGGGCCATTCCCTCCGTGTGCCGATACCTTCCGGGTTGGGCTGGCTGAGTGGAATTTTCTGGAGTTTGGGGACATGGGCCCAGGAGAGCCTCACATTTTATGCTGGCCCTGTGCAGTTCAAAAGTGTTCTCCTACCACCCACCTCCTCCACGCACTTGGCTTGTGCTCTCCTTCAGCGAGAAGTCTCAGACTGCAGCCCACTGCCTAACTGCTCATTGTAGTTCGTTTGTGAACTTTCAAAGGTCGGCCCGCTGTGGTCTGCCAACTGGTTTCCCTTCCAGAAGCAGCTTCCGGTTCTGAGGTCCTGGATGTGCACTTCCCTCTCTAAGCAAAGGAAGAGAGGTCAGGGCAGCCTGGTAGTAAGTTTCCCTTCACAGGAGCGGGCGAAGCTGGATAGCAGGGCTCCTGGGCCCTTTGAACTGCAGGAGGCCGGCAGGGATCATTGGGTTTGGATCTGTATTATAGCAGAACTCTGCCTTTTCGTACTGAGACATCGCTTTCTCATCATCTACAAAGAGAGTTAGAGGGGTGCCATGGTGGAGGAATATTTTTTGTTGATGGGAGAATTTTAAATAAATCCCAAATCGAGTCACATTTGAGCAATTACGTTCTTTGCTGGAATGAGCCCTAACTCTACAGGCTGCAGTAATTATGTAGCACCGAACTCCGTGTAAATGGTTGAATGCAAATGATTTAATTGGAATATTGGTTTTTTATGTAGCAGGGATACCTTCTAAAAGTGTAGGACTCCAGATTCTTCTTACTGGTTCTTTTATGGCGAGGAGTTTTAAGTAACAGATGAATGGCACAGAGGTAGAGGCAGTAGTTCTTCTGAGACAGATTTTTCTTTGCTGAAATCTTGTTTCCGGTGTGGGGGGCCAGCCACTGGAATTAGGACAGCAGGGGCTGCGCTGTCTCCCTGTACCTCCTGGGCTGAGCAGTGCCTAGTCTGAAGAAGCCTGTAGAGGGATGAGGGCGAAAAAGCGATCTTGGGGATTGAGAGCAGAGGTTTCTGTAATTAACACTGATTAAGTGAGGTAGACGAGTACCCTGTTAGAGTATTCTCAGTAGTTATCAAGTGATTTTATAAGACTAACTGTTAAAATCAGATTGCAGCTGGGTGTGGTGGCACACGCATGTAATTCCAGCTCTCGGAGAATCACTGCGAGTTCGAGGCCAGCCTGGACCCTGTGAGAGTGAGACCCTGTGTCAAAAAAAAAAACCAAAAAACCAAACCAGATTGCATGGCTCTGATGTAGATTTAGGCCTCTGAGCAGCCCCATTTTGTGGAGTTGGTCTGATTTTCACCCATTTAGTGGATAGGAATGAGGAGGCCGCAGGTCAGGAGGTTGTTGGGCCTAACTATTCCTGCTGCCAGCTGCTAGTGATAGGTCTCTGCCTTCTGAACATGCTGTGGGGCTGTACAAGTCTACTTTCCTGGGATAGTAATTACCCGGGGGAGGACACAGAGCTAGAATATTGAAATTAAAAGTTTCAGTGGCGAGAAGTTAGAGAGTGGGTTGGGAGTGTGGCAGTGCAGGAGGGCACTTGGAAGTTCATTTTCTTACGCAGCTTCTCTCTGGGCCGTCGGGCACGACGCCTGCACTGTTTTCACAGACAGCTTTTAGGGTTAGATCCAAGACAGTTTAATGAAATGAAAGATTCAGTTTCTGAGCCATATTTCCAGTGCTTAGTACTCACATACTGTAGTCAGCATAGATTGAGATCATTTCCATCCTCAGAAAGTTAGATCAGACGGCATTGGCCCTGGGTACCTGCTGCTCTGTACATTTAAATCTGTTCCTGCTGGGCGTGGTGATGCACACCTGTAATCCTAGCATTCCGGAGGCTCAGGCAGGATGATCAAGGAAAGTTTGAGGCCAGCATGGGCTACGTAGTGAGTTCAAAGCAACCCTGAACTATAGAACAGAGACCCTGTCTCAAAAAAACACCCTGTCTGTTTTCTCTGTTTCTCTTCATCATATGCTAATACTGTGCTGATGACCAGGTGAAATTGCTTGTTCTGTAGGTCACAGCAGTTGACCAGTAGCAGTTAACATGCTTCAGACCAATGCACGTCACCTTTAAGAAGCATCCGTCCTGACTCTGCACTGTAAACTGCAGGGAGGGAGACAGCAAGTGTTACCTAACAGGGGCATCGAGATGGCCAAGTGGGCCACATAGAAAATAAATAGGTGTTAGGTGGAAAGCATATGGCTGGTAAGGAAAGGAATTTTTTTTGTTGTTGTTTTTGAGACAGTGTCTCACTGTGTAGTCCAGGCTCGCCTTGAACTCACAATGCCCAGGCTTAAAACGGGACACACCAGAAGTTTTTCCTTTAGGTGCAGTAAGTAACACATATCTCTCATCTCTCTACAGGGCAGAACCTTTATAAAGGCTTACAATTTCTAAACTAGATTATTTTGGCAAGACTAGAATACCTGCCTGGTCCCCAAACCTGACACCTTCCCGTGTGCTAGCGTTTTCCTGTCCAGCTGATGGAGGTAAATCCTTTCCTGAGCTAGCGACTTCTGCAAGTTCTTCTGTACTCCAGTCACTTTGGGATCTGGAAAAACCATTGGGATTTACAGGGCTCTGTCTTCAAGAAGAACTTTTGAGTGTGAGCTCAGCCTAGTATCTGAAGAATGACATAAAACCGAAGTTTAAACGAAGCCCCTGCAGTGATAGGCAGTGAGTTAATCCCTTGTTGGTCAGAGGCGGCCCTCGGAGATTGTGCCGGAAGTTATCAGCTATTTATAGTGATAATGAGTATCATCTGCTGACTCAAGAGTTGGCCTGAAGACCATCTTGGACCCAGACCTTTAATTCTGGGCCTCACCCCAGGCAGGCTGTCAGCAGACCAGGTCTGGGCGAGGCGGAGTGGAAACAGTTCCAAGCAGGTGTGCTGGGTGCACTGCACTTGGCCTGCGCACAGCTTTTGTGGCCAGCCCTTTGCTTTAAGACAGCTGGGCTGTCTTTTAAAAATGGAGGAGTTCTTTGGTTAAAATGTAGAGTTTTAGGGCTCCTTTGGGGAAAAAATGAGAATTTGTGGCTACCCTAGTTTGGTTTTTTTGCAGGGCTACTCTGAACTGCTCCTGCTGCCTTGGGTGGGGCCTGTTCCCTCCTTTACCACCAGCATGCTGCCCTGGTTTTGGCTTTTTCTGTTTATTTTTTGAGATAGAGTCTTGTTATGTACATAGTTCAGGCTGGCCTTGAACTCGCTGTATAGCTCAGGTTGGCCTAGAAGGCACATCGATCCTCCTGCCTCAGCCTCCTGGGTGCTGGGGTCACAGGTGGGCCAGCACACCGAGCCCTGGCCTGGTTTATGCGATGTGCGTGGTGGCAGCCCCGCAGGGCTGGAGGGCATCCGTAGTGGGCGGGTTCAGTTCCGGCCTCTGCACAGTGTGGGGCAGTGGGGAAATGTCCAGTGACTGTAGATTGTCTTTTCTTTTCCCCAGCTTCAGTTCCTCCGGTGAAATGAACATAGACAGCTACTTTATCTTGCGGGCCCCAGATCTCAGTTTATCTTGACTCCTGCCCTCTCAAACCTGCTTCTCCATCAGCAAAGCCATCAGCGTTACCTGCAAACAGCCCTGCCTGGCCCTGTGTGCAGCTTCTACCTGCTTAATTCATCAGCCTTTCCTACTGCGCCCCTGCCCCCGGTTCGGCTCCATC